GCGACCAATTCGGGGTGCGACCAGAGTCACAGAACGAATTAAATTCATAACCCGAGGTACCACTGTACATTAAAATGTCAGGCTTGGCTCCTTGTCAAATTGTAGGGCTGAGATGAGGAAAAGCTGAAGTTACAGGTAGAACAAGGAAAAGGGAAAAAAATTGCAACCCCAACAATAAGAATCTTGTTCTTCAGATGAGATTCAGAATGTATTTGGATAAGTGTGAGAACAATTCTGGCTTATAGCTATTATGAAACTTCTTATGCTTAATGCGTCTCTTCTGTCTCTGATCACTCTCGAAATGTCAGATCTGACTCCTAGGGAACTGACGGACAAAAGGCAAACGTTGGGAAGGGCAGAGAGAACAGCAGCCAGCTTGGAGTGGCAAGAGTGAGCTTTCAAAACAAACAAGCCTGACCTGCAGAGCCTTTATGAAGATCAGGATGCCTGCCTTTAACTGGCAGCAGGAGCCAAGAGCAGAAACATCACGCATCACAATTACATATAAGAACAAGTATCAGCAAGTGCTGGCTTACAAAAACGTGGAAAATCCCTAGCTCAAATTCACATTACAGTTGGGGGGGGGGGCAGGTAGGAATTGTTAGACACAGCCTTACATTTAAGAATGAATGCTTTATGTCTGTTAGTGACGGTCTTTTGTTGAAGACTGAGTGATAGCTCATAAGCTATCAGCATCTGCCTGAACCTACCACTATGTACAGCATGTAGCACTGCCCAATCCCGGAGCACCTTTATAGCATGGTGCACTTGGCTCTCCTCAATCCTGTTACGCTTCTAACAACCTTACCTTGAAGATTAGGTGAGAGATTGTGAACTTCATAGCTGAGAAGGGATTCAACACTAATCTACGATGTGTCCAGCTAGCCCATATTTAGAGCAATTCTTTGGAGTTTCATGCAGAGCCTTTTTTTTCTTAAACTGCCATTTCTTTCCAATTACGGGATTAAACTGAGTAACCTACACCCTCAATAAACTTCTTTAGCTGCTCTCTCAATTCTTTCCAACTACTCTGTAATTCCAGATCAAGACCTGTAGCAGACTTAGCCCCTTAACCACTGCTCCTTGTGGTGAACCCCTTCAACATTTAACAAGACCTCTAATTAATGCCATCTCTAGTCTACTTCCAAATAAATATTCATCATAATGTGTTGAATCTGTTTATCTTATCAGGGGATGCTTATGGATTCCTGTATTTATGTAATTATAAAACATTATTTTTCTGGCTTTAGGTACTGTCCATTAAGGGCATGATCCTTCAGGCCACATTTCTCAATGACAGAACATATGCAACAATAGCAGAAAGACCAGCAAACCAATGTTCCTATATTTACCTGACAGATCTTTATCCAAGATAATCTCAGTCAAGATAGGTAGGCTTACCTAATGTCATCCAGCTGATAACCTGATTTATTATAGGCAATCCTTGTTTGCTGTGAAGACTGCTATGAGTACTGTTCACAATGTATGTCGAGGCCACCAGACTCAGCAACTAATAAAAAATAAAATAAAATAATGGATTGCTTACCTGAGTGATTCTACTTTATTGCAGTGATTCAGGAATACTAGCAAGATTATAAGTGACTTTCTAGATTTTTTCCACAAAGCCCAATTTTTTTAAAAAACTAGAGTTTTTAGACTCTTGTAAGAACTACGCCCAAGTTCAACTGGCAATTTCAATAAAAAGAAGTTGGCTGTGGAAGGGGAGGGAGAAAAAAGAGAAGATTTCAAAACCGCCCACTGCTTAACATTTCATTTGATCATATATTCTTTAAGTTATCGTATAACCCTATTGTATTTTGGATAACACCATAAATGTATTCAGAAACTGCCAGAGCAAACTGTTGGTTCATACTTGCATAACTGTATTTCATGCTTGATTTCCTCCAGACTGAATAAATAAGAGAAAAAGCACTCAGGAGGAAGGCTTTCAACAGAGTTTATTTAAATGGGAGATTTGTCAATAGGAGTCCATTTCCTAGCATTCAGAGTTACAGATTAGAGAGGTAATTAGAGGAGGTCATCAAAGAACAGCTATTTGGCATCAGGTTTTATGCTGGTTTAATGAACTTTGCCTGATGTGTCATCATGTGACAGTTCATAGAAGCCATAATAGTTGTCAGGCTGCCTGATTTTTGTTCCCCTGTACCCTATATAACATAATTTAGACTTTGGACTTAAATATAAATAAATTGCTATAACGTTCATATTTTAACTCTATTAAAACAGAATATACACTAGCCAAAATCAGCCCATATATATTAAAGCGTCAAAATAAGAAATCCAGCATTAAAATGAAAGATTCATTGTTATAAAGCAGTTTCCTCACATAGAAGCAGGTGGTGGGAGAAGGAATTCAATGAAGAGAGGAATGAGCCAAACAGGCACAATAAATCGGCACCAGTTACTCCAACCCCAGTAAGAAAGTGAAGCCAGTTTCCCAATGTGTTTGTTCAGCAAGGGCCATAGAATAATGTTACAGAAAGAGTTATGTTTCATCTGTGATCACAAAAAACCTTAGTGATCTCTCCTCCTAACAGTCACGTTTTACATACAACCTAAGGGGTTTTTTGGGGAGATAAGGAAAATTTCACATAGGACTGTTTTGAGCTAATCCAAGGCTCTAATAAAGATGGTGAAATTGCATCATTTCTAACAAAGGGATACAAAAAACTTAGTACATTTTGTAATGTTCCAAACCTTCACACAGTGATACAAAAAATGAAACCATGTGGAAATAAAATCCAAAATCTAATTTCAATGGTATAGCAAAAATACACAAGGACAATTCTTTATATATTTTAATCTGGATTAGTTTATTCTCTTAACTCCTTCATTTGATTTAAATTTACAGTGACATCTACTGGTCACAAAGTATGTTTTAATCTTTAAAACAGTGCCAAGACCAACTCTTAACATTTCTTTTTCCTCGGAAACTTTATCTTCTAACATAAGATAATCAACTGTGAGTCCTGTCATTTTTCAGCCACTCAACTCTGTACACTCCACATGAATTGGAATACACAAATTATTTATCAAACACAAATTATGTATGCTAAACTAGAACGACCCTATCTGGAAAAGCTCAATAAAAAGTCCCATTTTTCTTGGTGTAACTGAGTTATTGTCTTCTTTTAAAATACAACAATTGCTGTGGAACATTACATATTCTTTACTACCGTAATAGCAAAACGTTATCTCTGGAAAATATAATTGCTTCCCAGTATCAGTACTCCAGCATTTTTGCACGTTTTGCAGATTCCCACTGGACAATTTCTGTAACATCATCATCATAACAATTTCTATCCTACTAAACCACCACTGAATTAAGAATTTGTTGTTCTATTAAGCATTCCCCACATGGGACTCAGGAAAAGATGCATTCATCTTGACCTTTCAGAAATAAACATCCTCTTAATATACAAGTGGGAAAATATATAATAGGGCTGTATGAAGCTTCAGTTTGGACATGTGATTCAAAGGAAATTCAATACAATCACTGAATCAAATTACCTTTCTGAATCACATCATATTGGATGTTCTGAATCAGTTAAACAATTTGGAAGTGTTTTTGCACATATGCAAAAGCCCTTTATTTCAACAGAAGCAATTTTCTAAATCAAACCGACCCCATGCAACTAGTCAGTGGCTGTGAAACCATCTGATTATTTCAAGCTGAAGAAGTGGAGCCAGTTTACACCCTTCTGATATATAATTTCTTTGACATCCTTTCTCAAGGTTGTATCTTCTGGATCTGGATGTCAAATTTCAATGGGATGTTTGCTGGAAGATTATAGGAACTGAATTCCAAGACATCTGGAGGGTGATAGATTTGGGAGGGTTGCTATATGATGGCATCTTATGTTGCAACAACAACTTGAGTTTACATTCTGAAACAACTTGGTTTCATAATAAATAAAAGATACCTAGAATATTTACTCCATAGAACTATCAAGTGCAACCTATTTTGATAAAGTGTTTTGGAAATGACTTTTTAAATGATTTTTTCCCCATAGCAGTAACCCTGCATGGCCATTTTTAAACATCATAGTGAAAATTCAGGGCAAAGAGGAATTTATTTAAACTAAAAATGAACAGTAAGAAAACATTCAAGAAATTGATCAGGTAATTTTAAACACTTTTATTTGTACTTCCTTCCTGAAAGTCCTTTCTATACAATCCTATCTTTTTCCTCACACAGTCAAAAAGTAGTAAAAAGAAAGCAGAAACTACCCACCTATCTTTTTCCTCACACAGTCAAAAAGTAGTAAAAAGAAAGCAGAAACTACCCACCTATCTTTTTCCTCACACAGTCAAAAAGTAGTAAAAAGAAAGCAGAAACTACCCACCCCCACCCCCCCCCAAAAAAGAAGCAGGAGTAGTTGCAGGAGGAAACAGCAAAAAACAGTGAGACAATTTTTTCTGGGACTCTACATCTATTCCACCTAGATGGCTACTTAGATGGAAGCCTCCTTGCTTGCCAGCTTAGCAACACCTGAGGATCGTTTCCTAGGATTGTTTGACATCAAGTCATAGACTGTTTCATGGGGAAACCTGCTTATACACCTGGCTGTCCAGGTTGGTGATACCCCTTTGGGAGAGCCATTTTGGAGGTGACACGTGAGTGAAGACCACAACCCCAGCGATGTTGTGTGAGGCTGTCCGCATGAGTAGGTGATGGCGCTACTCCTAGATGAGAGCCAGGAGGAGCTGGGGGCTAGTTTCCCCACTGATTTTGTTGATGCCTTGCTTAGTATCTTGAACAGTGAGTTTGTTAAATGGGTCAACATAATTTCTCCTAAGCACTCACTCCAACCTGTTTCAAAAGTAGTTCTGTGGTGAATGCATGAACTGCAGAAGATCAGTGTGAGAAATTGTGGGGAGGCTGGGAGAGTAATGGAAATAATGTTAAACATGAGCAATCAAGACACAGGAGAGAATCCACTGGCAGCTTATCAGTGATACTAAGTCCAGATGGCAGATACCTGGGAGGAAACCATTCAGAATGTTCTGAGAGTCTCCATCTTAATAAAGTCACTAATAAATGAGGGTTGGAAAATCCTCTGGAAGTTTCTAAGATTCTGTATTTACCCCTAATTCTAGCACTAAAGACTTGTAGTACCACATTTTGGTGAAGGGTTCTCCACTTGCACAGAACAATAATACCTATGAAGCATTCCAGGTCTTCAAAATAGATAGAAAAGTATAGGTAGGACTCAGTTTGTTCTTTGGAGTTGCTGGAGTATAGCTAGTGAGTAGAATTTTTTTTCAAAAATAACAAACAACTGAAAAGCAGTTGGTTAAAACCCAAAAATATGAAAAAGAAATTTCAAAGCAACAAAAATTATACTTCTCAACAGTACATATTTATAGAACTTACTCACCTGAAATAGATATATTTTGAGATCTTTATGATGCAAATATTTTTTTTTGCTCTTCCAAAAAAATGTCACTAGGTAGGACAAAGCTATCAATAGAATAAGCAAGCCAGCTGTTGTTCTGTAAAAAATAAACTATTTGTGAGTGCTTTTCAAAGGTATTTCTATAGGAATAATTTCATGAAGATTAAATTAATCACAAAAGTGCAAATATGCAACATGAATAAGGCATTAATCTAAGTTCCAGGGACACAAACAGAAAGTTCAGAGTGAGAAATATATTAAGGGTGACCTTCTTTCCTATCAGGATTAAACATTTTCTGAAATACACCAAGCTTTCAAACTGGCATTTGGTTTATTGCCAATAACTGCCTTTAAATGATCAGTTAATTATTTTTTGGTGAAAAGATTGATTCTGTCCCACTTTCAGAGAAAAAAGCCTTCATCCTGGCCAAACATCAGAGCCCAAAGAGACTGTCATATGTGTATGATTTCTTAATATCTTTGCAATGAATTTCTTTTAATGAAAGCCAATCTTGGATGAAAACAAAAATTGGATATATCCTTCCAAGTTACAATACAGATACCTTTCACACACATGGTCGCAGCTGAGTTCACATTGCTCTGAATCATGATTGTTTCTAACCACAGTTCAAATAAGCCACAGTGGCCTGGTTCACACATCACATTAAGTCATAATATAGTATGTTTAGTTATGATTTAATGCAACAGGTGGTTCCAAACCACTATGTTTGCAAACCATGATTTATCGCTTTGTGTGAACTATGAACCAGGGCAGATAAAGTGGTAGGAGTGTGAATGTAACCAAATAAATAGTGCCAGTTATTTGGGGAAAGATAGTGGCTCTGCTTTCACATACATGGATAATGCATATTTGCTAGATAAAGAACACAACTGCAGCACAAATCCCACAATTCGTAGACCTGTACATTCCACTGGACATCACACAACATTTTTGCTGATGCGTATTTCTTTTCAGATATGGTGCTGGTGCCTCTGGATACACTGACCAACACTTTTCTAACCCACTGAGTTTAGAAAACATTAAGAACGTTGTATTTACTTTAGAATGGACTCTTGCTGCTCTTTAAAGTACTTGTCACCAAGATCCATTATGAAACATCCCTAAAAAGACTTCCATGATATTTGGAGTTTTAAGTTTCCTGCATCTATTTTACAGGATAGAACACCCTATTCATTTGAGAATGATACCAGCTTTTTTTCCCCGCTGCTTCAGACTTCATGGTTTTTTCCCCATTTTTCCCCAATTTCTATCTGATCCTATTACACAGTGTCCTGCTGAAAGAGGACCAAATAAACTGCTTTATGGATCAGCATTGTGCATGTGTCTGAAGACTACCACTTCTTCTTTACATCTGTTCTGATAATGTAACAGAGCGCTAGTGTGTGAACTTCTAGATCCATTTCTGTTCCAACATTTTTTATCTTTTTTCACTGATTAAAGGGAAGCTTGAAAAATGAGGTAAAAGGTCTACACTGTAACTTTGTAGCCTACATAAAGTAGAAGCCATTTGAAAATTATAATCTCCAATTTGAAACAAGAATAAGAATGGACAAAACTTTTGTGCCAGAAAGAATAAGTTTACAAATCAGCTATTTTAGGATATCCTTCTTTGAAGAAGAGAATGTTAACATTCTGATAATGAAGTTCTCATCTGAGAACTTCAACTCAATAAATACATCCCTGCCCACCCCCATAATTATATGACTTTAATTTTCAGTTTCAACAATAAATTACTTGAGTTCCAGTAACATAATTCCCTTCTAGGGGCAAGAATTAGATGAAACTAGCACATGATTAAATGAAAGTGGTAACATGAAAAAAGCTGATTCATACTTACACTAAAGAGATATTTGATTCTCTTCCTACCACAGGCATCAAGGGGAAGATTGCCAGGAGCAAACACAAAAGAATCCAACTTAGCACCATTGCCTATGACAAAAGACAAATAAGTTATACATACAAATAGAACTAAATATAGGAATTTAAATATTACTGTATGTATAAAAAAGACTTCAAGTAAAGTTATGTAAATTTTTACCTGAAATTGTATGAATTCTAAAGATACATAGGTAATGAAGGTAACTTTCTGGTTCAGGCTACATTTCAAATTTAACCTAGGAAGCTTAATGGAAAGATTGCATTCCTTGCTCAGGTTATATACAATAGCTTATTTCAATATTGCTTGAAGGTATCACTCCAGGATACTGTAGTATAAAGTGTGGGGCAAGATATTCAGCAGCCCAGATAACAAGAGTGACTAAATGCTCACCCATACTATAAGGTGGTCAAAATGTGATAAAAACTACCACTAATACCTGTGTGATATAGCTAAGTGCAATAAAAAGGTAGAATCGTCTACAAAAATATGCTAAACCCTTCCCTATTGACCTAACATACATAGTTATTTCAGAATATTTCCAAGTTGTACTACATTGTTGATGACATCACTGATTTTAAATGGTTGTCTCAGACTGGATAGTGATCCATCCTCCTCTTCACTACGCTTTTCATTTCACTGTCTTGCAGTTCAGATAAACAGTTAACTTTGGCTGATCTCAAAACAAAAAACAAAAAGGTATCCAGTATCAGACCATATTAGTACTTGAATAAGAGATTGCAAATAGGAGGACAGGCTAAACTTGGAAATCAAAATAAACATCTGAGGTGACACTTCTGTCTGTTGCTAAGAAAATTAACATAGCCGCTAGGAGTTGACTCCTTACTTTTCCTTCAAATAGCTTAGACTGATGTATGTCAATGCTATATTGTAGCATTATATCATCCCCAAACAGAGGGGCACTGAGTGGCCCAAGATCACTGAGTAAGGATAATTACTAAGCAGGAATTTGCACCCAAACTGCTATGCTACACCAAGCTTATTTTCTATTCTTAATCTGGCCCCAGGTAGTAGAAGAGTCCACCCATTACTACCTTAAACTTATCTTCAGCATTTGGATTCCTTTAAGAAGATTGTGTCAATAAAGCATAGAATATTTCACAACTACTCTCATTTGAAACTAGGATTGAGCATAAGGGTTTCCAAAATAGTATACATGGCTTGCAAGAAGGTAATTATGGCTAGCAAACTCCCAAAAGGCAGATAACTGTTTACTCTTCCAGATGCCTCTTGTGCATACACATACAGCTGCTTTGTTAATTTAAATAAAGCGTTCATGAAGTTTAAATGGAAGGGTGCGTTTCTGCGGGGCTGTGACCAGAACCCTTCTACCAAACTAGTCAGAATCTCCCTCTGCAGAAAATACCTTTGCTTGGATCCACAGCTGAAGGACCACAGGCCACATAGAAAAGGCAATCAGGCCAAAGGTGAGAGTGGAACGATAGAAGAAGGAGAAAACCTAATTCACGCAAACATATACAAATGGAGAAAAAAGTAGATATAATAATCTGATATTCTCCTCAGATACAAAATTTCATAATCATGTTTTAATTTCTCGAAAAAGATTTTCTGTTCAATTCTTTTGTTATTTCATTATGTGTTTTTATTTTAATAATCATCTTTAAATATTGTATACAGATAATATTACAAGGCTACTAACCGTGAATTACTTACTAATATTTCAATCGCCACGGCATATATTACTAAGAATCCAGCAAGTTGAGTCCGCTGAACATTCAAGAGAAATCTGATCAACACATGGATAACAGGGTATCTACAGGAAAACATTATGCTAAATAAATATTCTTTCTTATTAGGCCAAAAGGTACATAAAAATCAGAAATGAAAGCAAAGCAAGCTTTCTCAATTGGGGGGGGTGTATTCTCAAATAACAAGAGGGCACCAGGTTGGGGAAGACTGAACTAAAAACAAACATGAACAAATTCCTCCAAGGTAGTTAAATTCAAGGTATATGGCAGGAATATCTGCTTTATCTCTTCTAGAGATTCCCAAACTTTCCTGGTTCATGGTGCCCCCTAGTGGCTCAGTATTTTTTCCATGGTGCCTCTAGTGGTTCTCAAACCTTGCACTATGGCACCCAAGGGCACCACTGTGAACTCATTAACAGTTCCTTTTCTTAAATAGTAAAATATCTTGCAGCGCCCCTGTGAGTTACAGGGCACTGCAATGTCCAGTTTGGGAACCGCAGATCTGTTCCATCAGTAAATTTAATAAAATAGAAACGCAACTTAGTAAGTCTGCTTTTCACAGAATGCACAAAAAGACATTATCTCCAAAATGGGTCAGAATAACACCTCCAGTAGTTAGATAGCAAAATTATATTGCTAACCTACAGAAGGTGCAATTACTCTTAGTTTGCTGCACATTCTGAGCCAAAATAAGTAATGTCAGCACCTCTGACTTTTGAATGGTATAAAGTGAGACTCTAAAGATCAGATGTTATTGATCTACCAGTATAGGAAGTCCTGTTGCTTCAGATGTTAACCGTTCCCTTTCTCTCATTCTCTTGCTAGTAAACGTCTATCTAAATCCACTATGAATATACAATTTTTAAAAACGCACACAGAAACCTTTCTGTGACCTAATAGCACCCATCACTTCACAGGCTAAGCTGGCATTTTGAAACCAGCATATACTGAATGTGAACGGTTTTAGAAAACCATTAACTGAAATGAGAAAACCCACGGCTTCAAACCCGGCAGCATATATATTTATTTATTTTTAAAACCTTACTCTTTTAAAACTGCATACCATACAGGGACTGGTAATAGGCAATATATGTAGTGGGTCCAAGGTAAGCTTTGAATGAAGAGAAAAATGGCTATCAAAATCCCAATAGCTGAAAACACATACTGGATAAGCCTGTCAGGTACCTGAAAATAGAATTGTTAATGTTACTTTTTCTTTAAAATATCCACTAAAACATTCCCAAATATTCACCAAATTTTGCAACAGACAGCAAATATGAAAAGGAACCTTCTCCAACTCAGTGCCTTCCATGCAGGCTGGGACCAACGTCCTCAGATAGCATGGCCAGAGGTGCCATTAATCTACCTGCTCTTAGGTGCAAATCAGAAGATTCACCAAGATTATTTTCCCTGCAAAGTCAGGGGAAATCATGGTGCGTGGCTTAGCCATAAACATGAATCAAACCTATACAGGATATTTAACAGACGGATTTAAAACAAAACAAAGCTTAATGCAATATGTGAACCTGGCCAGTGTAATGGCAATGGGACAGTATCAAGTTTTCCTATTAAAAAAAGCAATGATAATGCTGCCCTTTTCCACAGCAAACTCTGTTTGGTTCCACCATACAAAACTAAGAGTAAACCTCTTTTGATAATTTGAACAGAAATCTATCTATAAATTCTTCAGATAAAAGGGACTACCAAAATACACACTCGCCTACAAAACATACACTTTCATCAGCTTTATATCATCTTTGTCTGAGTTAACTGTAATTTTAAAAATTCATCTGAAAAGAAATTCGTTATGTACCTAAAGCAATGGCGGGGACCCTATAGCCATCCAAATGTTGAACTATGAGCAATACTGGCCAAGATTGCTGAGAGTTGTAATTCAGCAATATCTAGAGAATTCCCCACCTCTATGTAAATATTCAACAGGTTACAAAATGTAATCCAATTCTCAATATATTTTAAGGAAACCTAAAAAGGAGCTTCTTTTAAGACAGGTTTACATCTCCAAAGGTTTTTAGAAAATATTTTATAGGTTTTTCTAAGATGAAGGTATATGCCAATACTGCCAAAAATTCCAGTGCTAAATTTCTGTAGGACAAATAGGCACAGTACTGTCAGGTTCACATATGGAGTTAAACTATCACACATGCCAAGCCAAAAACAAGCCAACCACATTATATAGTAGCACAGCAAGATGTATCTTATTCAGTGTATAAGCCACCTCAGTTGTCCAAGTAACTCTAAGTTAAAGGTGTTTCTAGATTGCCTAAAATGATGTACAAACTAACTGCCTTTAAGAAAAGCTATATAAACATTCCAGTAAGTTTTTGCCCTCCTATCTATATAGTAAGTGTACTCAGTGATCCTACACTGCATCTCTGAGTTCTGACAAATATGATTGCTTCTTAAGGAATCTGACAGTTGCAATTAAAATCTACATTCATATATTTATATTGCATTTTGTACATATATAAATTTGCTTATTGTTTTTCTACTCTAAATAACTTGCTCTCAGAAACTTAAAATACTTTCATAGTATTTTGGAGAAATGGTTGAGAAGTATATTATAGGTTTTCATACAAGATAGAAAAAGTAGCCAAATATAGTTAAAAACCAATCAATAAATAGCATGTTTCAGGCTGCTATTCTACAACCACTCACTTAAGGATAAACCTTATTCATCTCAACAAGGCTTACTTTTGAGTAGACGTTCCTAGGATTGCTTAAAAAAACTGGAAGGTTTTCCAAAGTGATTTTATCTTATTTTACAGTCCAGCTTGCAAACATCCACAGTCTCCTTACATAATCTTAACTGGGGAAAAAGTATTGATTCCAAGAGAAATTTATTTTATATTGTATCAGCAAATGAGCAAAGTCTCTCTATTATTAGGAATTCTAAGGGCTATAATTTTTAAAAGCATTCATTTTATTTATCTTTTCCGATTCAATTTCTTTAAATTTCCTAAGTGTGGAAAGATAGCTTAGTTTAAAATGTGAGCCTGGAATATTTGAAGTAACTTTGGAAAAAAAATGTTTCACTATTCCTTTGAGGAATTGTAATGCCATTTTGGAAATCAGGAAGCCCAAGGGCAAGAAATCCTCAAAACCCACAGAGCTGCTGATATACATGCTTATTCATGATACAGTAGTATCCCGACTGGCCTACCACAAGGTGGATTGACTTTAAAGAGAGTTTGGAAATTTCATTACATCATAATGGCTGTTGGGCAACCAGCATTCTGTGGCATAAATATCGCACCAACCACCTTGGTATCATTAATGGTTTCAACCATTCAGATCTTCAGTAGTTTGGAACAAATTTGCTTGAAGGACCCCTTTCATCTATCTGCCTGCCTGCCTGCCTGCCTGCCTGCCTTCTGAGGTCATCCAAAGAGTTCTTCTTTCTTATCCATCATTAAGGATAATGAAGGTACAAAGGAGTGTGCTTTTTTCAGAGGGCTTCCACACATCTTAAATGTGATTCCTCAAACCTTTAATGACCTGAATCAAAATTCTGGACTACTACCTTTCCTTGCAATTAAAAGAAGTATTCTGAGCTGTCATTTCTAAGGTACTGTATAATCAGCACAGCAAACACACAAAAAATTAAAATCCATTGTCTATCAAGATAAAGACATCACACAGTAACCAGCTTTGTCTATAAAGATGCCATGTGTTCAGCAAATAGAAATTACATTCCCAGACCTTTTTAACTTACCTTATTCTTTGATATACTCCTGGTCATGTTTGTATCTGACTTTATTATAATCAGAATCACATAAAGTGTCCAGCCTACAAAACCCATGGTGATACTTATGCCAAGGAAAAATCTGTCGTATGTATGGTAATAAGAGAGGCCATCTAAAGCAAAGTTAATCAGCTTTCTACAAAGGGATACCTGAAAAAGAAAAAACAAGCAAGAGAACAAACATTTCAATGAGGTTTTAGCTCCAGCTGACTGGTACATGGGCATTCCTTTCTATGTGTATACTTTTGCTGGATCTTTACTACCTTTATTACCTGTACTGATTTGTTTTTATACACTGCAAGAGTTGTAAAATTAGACAGTTAAGAAATCAGTTAATTAATTAATTGAATGAGTCACTTCACAAGAGCTAGATCCTTGGATCATAGAATCTTAGAATATGAAGAGAAGTGGCCAAAATACCTGATTGCTCTTTATTATTTTTCCCTAGCAGCTATTTTTAACTAAAAAGCAGCCTCAGAAGCTGCAATCAAGAGTGGGAAGAGTAGAGACGAAACTGCTTAGCACTTTCTTTTCTTCCCTGACAGTTGTCCAAATCCCTTACGCCCAAGCCACTTCTATCACTTTTTCTTCTTCTCTGTCTTTTGGAAAAAATGCAAACACCCTATCATTTTTCTGTTGAGAGAAGAGAGAACAGACACACAAGTAAGAGTCAGTTGTAGAAAACTAAGACTGCATGAAAGTCCTTATTTAGCAATTGTCTCATTAAGTGACTGTTTGCAGTTACAATGGTGATGAAAAAGTAACTTTACAACCAACCCTTGCAGTTACAACCTTCACAGGTCTGTAAAGCAAAGAAAAGCTGAAGTAAGGTCATAAGCACAGTCATGGTTTCATTTAGCAACTGCTTCGCTTAATGACTGAGTTGCCCAATTGTGATCACTAAATGAGGACTATATGTACCAAGTTTCAAAGGAAATTCTTTTAAGTGTATTTCTCAGTTAAATAAGACCCAGTATGACAGATTCAGAGAACAGCCAATTAAATTCTATTGCTCTCAACACAGAATTATAACAAGGGCAAAGCTTTTCTTAACAGAAGACAGAAAGAGACTTTTGTAAAATCTGTCTGAGATCAGATGTGATCCTCACACATTATAAAAGTAATTAGGGTTAGGGTTCCATGAGATAATGGAAGCAAAGAGAAAAACAGTAGCATCAGATAAGCTATAAATATAACAAATACATTTTTAAATTATCACACACAAAACTAAAGGAAGATGAAATAGGCTCCTTGGATGGTTTTACTTACAGCTTCCTCATATTTCTCGTGTTGAATGGATAACCTTGTTTTTCTCAGAATATCAATTTGCTCTGATTCAGAGAGACGCCTGTGCAAGACAAAACATTTTAACATCTCAGTTTTATTACTCTTTTGGGAAAGATGGAATAAACAGCATGCCTTTAAAGATTTTTTTAAGCAATCAATTGTACCATCAGGCAGTATTCTTACTGATAAATTGGTGCTTAATAAAAACATATTTATCAATAATTTCTGCATTTTTTAAAGAAAATGCTATCTTATCTCCAAAGAACTTTTAGCAAAGAAATTTGGTACTGCCCAAACAAAAGCTTCTGGAGAAATCTAAGGAGCCTGAGGGGACTGTTGAAAAGAATCAAATTTTTAAAAAAGGATATAAAATGAGGATATAAAACGGAATATTAGTCATCAATGGCATTTACATTCATATTATGAATATGATTAATCTGGATCATTGGGACTAATGCTAACCAGATCTTACAGATCACTGCACTTATGTGCAATGGTGAGAAGATACCAAATGTTCAGGTGGGGTCATAGCCTTTAAAACTAGCTTAACAACTCTGCTGAGCAGAAGCTGCCTTAGTTTCCAAAATATAAATGACAATGTGCAGGCAATTAATTATGAGACTAAACAACAGTGTTCATTATGCAACAGTTTATAATTGTCCCTTATGAGATGTAATTTACTCCCATGGGGAGCATACCTGACAAAATTATTATTTCTACTACATAATTCTTGTCTTCCATTAGAAAAAAAGTTTGACAGCCCAGAACTCAAGTCTGCAATAAGAATAGGTCAGTATGGCAAGCTCAAGAAACTTCAGTCTGATCAATGTTTGCTATCACTATTTTTTAAATGCACCATTTCTACAGGGGTCATTTTCATGCCCATAGTTGCCAAATATTTGTTAACACAATGAATTTGAAGGCAGAGGACCTCAGAATTTCATTGCTTGCTAGTTTTAGACTAATTTTCTGGATTAAGCCACATTGTTCCATGCTGTTTCAGGCCACAATATTATAAGACTCTATTTTGTTTTATCTGTACTATTCACAAAGTCTGCTAAATGAGAAGCTGTATATTAATGTTTTAAATAAATAGATCTTTTTAGACATCAAAGTGGATTCTATTGCATTTAATTTTCAGCCACAATTTAACATTTAGGTAGCAAAATGAATAGGTGGTACATGTGTATACATATTCACAAATTATAACAAATAAGCAGAAAATAAAATTGAACATGTAATATCAAAGAAAAGGGCAGATGCCTAAGCTTAAAGATAAAAATTATTTCTTTTCTTCAGACAGAAAATTAAGTTCTCAGTGTCATAAATCACTGACCTAAATAAACTCTGAAAGTTCCTCATGATAATAAAGCATATTAAAAAAAGCTGTAGAAGAAAAACAGTAGGCCTGCTTGCATATTTATCCATTTTGCATTTAAATTAAATTTATTTGGGGATCAATTAAAGATTAGAGGGGGGGGAAATGTGATCTGTAACATCTTTAGCCAATGCTGCAGCAGTCAGGAGATTTTCACAAGAATAGAAATAGCAGTTACCCCAAACAAATGGAAGACATGATGTGAAACACATGGGCTGAAAGGAACTTAATGGGAAAGCATAGGGGAAAAAAATGCATATATCATTTAGAGCAAATATTCTCCTGGTCATGGGGCAAAGGTGAAGTATGCAGAAAAATGAATTAATCCATTCGTTGCTCCAAATAAAAATAATGAATGGCTATTTAAGGGTTTAGCTTTTTATCTAAATATCAAGGGGAAGACATAATTAAGATTTATTTCCCATTCCTACAAGAACACAGCCAAGAGAACTAGTGTTGTTAAAAGACAGTAAGAGTTAGCAAAGTTCAATTCTCAGTTCAATTCTCATTTCTATCAAGGGTCCATCAAATAACATGCTATTGTCTCTGAAACACCACAGGGAACTATTGATATCCGTTATAACAACCTGGCATGTCAGACATTGCTAAGCTACAAATACCACTATCCCTGATTTATGAGATTTTTTGTCAAGGTTATTAAGATACGGTACAAGCTCTGATACTTTTGATCGGTGTATAAATCCTTAGCAATCATATTAATGGTAACAAAATCCTATATGTACTTATTTTTATTCAAATACTGGTTTATAAAATCCCCAAACTTGTTGCTCTTCTCTGAACATTAAAGACTGGAAAGGATCTAATTCAATGGGCAAATTAATTAGCAGTCAAGCAGAATCTTTCTAGCATTTAAATTGTATCATAGCTTTACTTTCCCTATCAATTATGTCTAGAAAGAAATTCAGGCAGGGCTCTGATTTGAAGTATGTGGGTTCCATTTTTTAATCCCCCGAACACCAATCTTGTCCAAGTTTCATTTATTTGAATAAATTGGTCTCAGAATAACACTCAGAAGATACTGCCTTTTCATTCCTTCATGACTGGGTTGCAGTAGAAGGCAAAAACAAAGATTTATTCTAAGAATGGAACATGTACTTACTTGAATGGTGAAAATAAGAATGATAACGTGGTTTTCTTCTTCTGAGCCATCTTAACCTAAACACAACAAGCCAACATTTGTATGAAATAAATGACTGAAACAAACAATACAGTCTTTATTCTGTTCTTCCCAGCAGGTCTCTCTCATAATTTGATTATAAATCCAATTTTCTCCCCCACAGATTGTCTTACTTGAGGCTGCAATGATATGTATACTGTTTTGGCTTCAGACTATAAATTGAAAAAATAATTAGTAAATAAACACATGCTGTTAAAAGAAATAGCAATCTTGTGCAAGTATCAGATTCAGCATCACTTTTATAAATCTATAATTTTCACAATTTTCTAGACCTAAGCTAGAGTCTCACAACTCCAGGCATTTTACATACTAAAAAAAGAAAGCTTGAAGAGTAAAATAAAAGAACAAAATAGATGTGCATCCAGAATTATATAAGTTCTCCATAACTTTCTGGAAACTGCCTGATCTATCCGAATAAGCCAAATGTAATAGAAGTTGCAGGCCCTACACTTAAAATTGGAAATTACCTGTGCTTTTTAAAATTTTTAAATGATATGCTTTCTCTCTTAAAAGATTAGAGGCAGCTACTAATCACAGATAAGATAAAGAACAATACCATTTATGTGTAAAAATAATTGAAAATTAATACATTAGTAACATAAATCTTAAACATCAAGGATAGCAGTAGTAAAAGTAGTTCACAGAGAACATTTTATACTCCAAAATTCTTCTGAAAATTAAGGTCTTTGCAATGTGGATATAAAATAATTAAAAGAGAGCAAAGCAACCGTCTTTCGGGAGTGATATCCAAAATTGAAGCACTGCTTAGGGTTTATTTCCTTATTTCAGGCAGGGCCTGCATGATAACAGTAATCAGTAGACCTTCATGCCGGAGCCTACTATCCTTGAAGTATCCTGCTGTCAAGCAGTTTAAAGATCTGAAGTCCATCTTGTGTTTTATCTGCCACCAGTAAATAGTGCCAAGAGAAATTTAAACCTCAACTCCTGAATCGTCTTCTAGTGGCTGGAACAGGATGTATGCCAATCTTAATAACATCAGAATTGAATTACAGGAGCAATTCTGCACCTTGATTAGAATGCACTGCTTTCAGTGACATCAATTCACATCAGTTAGTGTGAGTTTGACCCATAGAAATTAGATTCCCTAACTTAATACACAAGTTCCATGAAACATTTAGATGTGTTTTTAAGACAATGGAAAGTATGGGCTATCACAGTAAAAAAGAGTTTTAAGGATTTTGAGCTACTTTTCCATAATACCACTGCTTTTGATTTAGCAATCATTCTACTATCATACTAAATTACTTTAAATTAAATATATTAAACTAAATAACTTATTATGTTGTTTCTATTTCTACTATGACAATCTGTAGTTTCCACTGGAAATATTCATCTAAATGTGCAGTTTATACCTTTTGGCAATAGCTTATATACCTTAAATTGTTCAAGAATCTGAACAGCATTGGTAAACATGCTCTCTGCCTTAAAATGGGCAGAATTATTCAAGTATTCAAGAGGTAAAACACCCTGGAAAAAAAGACGAAAATTAATATTTAGCAGCATAGTCTAAGGCTAGAAAAACAAGCATTTTTACTAAGGACTAGAACCTGTCACAGTACATAAAGTTAAATAATGTCTTCAGAATTAGAGAACCATATAATTCACCGCGAGCCCATATGCACTGTCTTCTAGCAGCAATGCACATGCCAGTTTTGAAAAGGGATCCTCCATGCACACTGAAGTACTGTAAGACAAACACTCTAACTGCCTCCCCACACAGCTTTATGCACGACTAGCCCCTTTAGACAACTTCCAAAAAATAAATGGGTATGGCTAGCCCATTGTTTAGTAGAGGGGATGGCCCTCTTGCATGTCAGGTAGAAGCATGATGGTTTACAAATGAAGCTCCCTTCTCCCAGAGGTTGTTTACCGATTCACAATATTTTAACCTGACCTTTCCTTACAAAAGTTGGTTGGTAGATGTGACCCTTTCCACAATTATTTAGGCAAGTGCTTTGCTTATTAAAGATTGAAGAGACAACTTCAAGGCTCCATTCCATAAACTGGAACATTAGAAATTTCAATTCACTGCATGTGGAGCTCTCATTTCATGAGAGCCAGCTGCTATGAGGTCATAAAGAGAGTGCCTGTCTAGTCTAAGATTTGCAGAAGTGATTCAGTTATCAAATGAACTGATTATTACTCTCCATCTCTCTCTCTCTCACACACACACACACACACAAAGTAATAATTATCTGAGCTCCCAATAAAGATACATTTTTCCAAGCACACATAGATTATTAAAGCATGAGAGTGACTAAGGTTTATTCCCCAAAGGCAATAAAAACCTACTTTTCAAATGTACAATTTCTCCAAAAAGTATGGGTTATTTTTTATATATGTTAGATTTATAGTCTGCTCTTCCTCTTGGAGTTCAAGTCAATATACGTAATGTTTCCTTCTCTAAAGTCTTCCCTTCCCCACAATATCAAGCCCATAAAGTAGGTTATAAAGATAATGATTGGCCAAACCACCCAGTGAGCTTCTATGGCCAAGAGAAGACTTGAACTTGGTTCTTCCCAGTCTGGTTCAATACCTTCCCCACTACACCATAGAATGTTTCTTCTCAATCCCTTGTTCCCAAAAACAGCATTCAGGTTAGCAAATAACTAAAAGACCCAAAGATTAGGTAATGCAGATGAAGAAGCAAGACTGGAGCAGACTTGATTTAAAATTGTCAGGGTTACCATGAGCAGGGAAACCTGTTTATCCCAGAGCTTCCCAAATAAATAGCTGACAATCCGTCTTATGAGGAAACAGCTTAAACTATATTCAGTGGAAGGAGGTAAAATTTGACTGCAGTTAATAAAACAGTTAGGAGAGCAGGACAACTTGCTCTACCTAAAAAAATTGAGGTCTCTCCCTCTCACTTTCTTCTGAAATATTTAATGATTAACATTCACTTCTACAGGAGAAAGAAAAACACTGTAAAACATATCCAGGTTGCCTAGTCTCATAGAAAAATACTTTAGAAGCTAAAAAAAGGCATCGTTCCACGATGCACAGATTCCACAACTGACACAAAAATTATCCTTCAAAAAACATACTTTTTTTGGTAAGCATTTGGAGTGTATAAAGAGCTAGAGATGGTTTCTCTGTTCTGCTGTCTAGTGATGACATTCTGTTTTGAAGCTGATATTTGTACTTATCTTTTTTTTCTTTCTTCTGATGTAAGTTTAATTAAGGAAGAATCTAAGGGGGGATGGGGGGAGAGAAATGACCAAGGTGGGAAGGACACAATAGTGCTCAACCAATCTGTCCATGCTGGGCCCAGAGTGACATAATGAGCATAAGGCAGATGTTTGTTGTATAGCAATTACCCTAACAGGATACAGGATATTGCTCTTCATCCACTGAACTAAGCATGGTTAAGAACGAAAGCACCATGGAAGTTGATTCTGTGATTAGCAATAGCTCCAGCTAATTGTCAATGCTGCTGAGGAGAAAAAGGGCTAGATCTCAACTCTCAGCCTAAAAGGCAAGATGGAGCTTCAGAAGGACAAGCAAAGTCCACCTAATGAAGACAGCAGATAGTTCTGGAATCTCTCATTAATTGATTTGCTAGGGATTTAGCCTGCACAAAATGTGTACTTGAGAATGACATTAAATCATAATGTGATTTGTGTGCTTTTGGATTAGCTTGATATAGGAATCCAGACACTGTGAACTGTAAAAAAAAAAAAAAAAAGAATTACGGTTTAGCGTGTTGTACATATTTGTGGGTTATTCAGTAAAGTGTGATTAAACAAGCCATGGCTTAGTGTAAAATATGAACACAGTCCATTTTACACCAAAGAAAAATCCCAGTACTAGCCATTTTACACTAAAAGGAAAAAATAGCATATTATCTTACCACTGAGTTCAGAGGGAAAGGAACTCCAATAAGAGAAGCCATCAGTGGTGCAATGTCAGCCTACAAACAAAAAAAAGTCTCCCTTTGAATGCATGCTTCAGTAGAATTAAAAGCTTAAGTCTCTTTTATGGTACATAATCACAACACACTTTTATGTGTGTGACATCATTTAGGAGAGGTAGTTAAAAAACCTGATTCCATGTTTAATGGAATGGGATGACAGGGATTCAAGCCTGGGCCAACGTAGCATGGGGAAAATGGCCAACAAAACCGTCTCTGCATTGTTGGCAGTGAATGAGCCAGCAACGCTGCTTTGGAAACCAGGAAGGGCGTTACAGATATAACATTCCCACTCTAGTGCCATTCTTGTGCTGAGAGCACCACCCAAATTTACACTATTAGCAGGTAAACCCATTTCAAATCCTGGCTATTAACAATCAATATATCGTACTTTTCCGACTATAAGACAATACTTTTTTCTAAAATCCTTACCCTAAAAACTGAAGGGCGCC